CATGATGAACATTGTATAAATGATTTGGTCAATAATAGCAAAAATGGTAAGTCTTTTTGGAGACGCGTCAACAATATTATTTCTTCACCGTCCGTGACAGGGAGCCCAGGTATTAGCAATATGCAGTGGACCGAATATTTCCAGCATGTGTTTAATTTAACTGATATACCTGTGGATGGGGACATTCTGGATGAGGCAGAAACTTTTATGAACAGCCATGATATTAATGGGTGCAATTAATGTAATGATGATGTTATGAATAATCTCCTTAATGCTGATATAACTGAAGAAGTATCATCAGCTGTACATAACTTGAAACTGGGTAAATCGGCTTGACCGGATGGAATTCTTCCTGAAATGGTGAAATGTTGCAGCACTTCAATCATACCATACTAACATGTAACTATAGTTTTTAATAGGATTATGCATTGTGGTGTATTCCCTTACGAGTGGCCAAATGGTATAGTAGTTCCCCTGCATAAGAAAGATAATATATAAATTATGTCAATAATTATAGAGGAATAACGTTGATGGAAGTATTTGGAAAGTTGATGACAACAGTATTAAATGATAGACTCGAGACTTTTGCGGACGTTTATGATACAATTCCTGAAGCTCAGGCAGGATTTCGAAGCGGATACAGTACAATTGATAATATATTCACATTACAGTGTTTAGCACAAAAATATCTCTCTAAACGTCGGGGAAGATTTTATTGTTTGTATGTTGATTTCCGTAAAGCGTTCGATTCAATAACCGAAAGCTCTTGTGGTATTCATTAATGAAAAATGGAATACACGGTCGTTTATTGGTGGTTTTGAAGGATCTATACTCTAAGATTCAGTGTGCTGTCAGGACATCAAATAACTCTCTTTTCGAATCACCGAGTGGTGTTCGACAGGGCTGCGTGTTGAGTCCGTTTCTGTTCACGATGTTTATCCTTGAATTACAGTCTATGATAGAAAGTAGTGATTTGCGAGGGATTTTTCGGGGAGAGGAGTTTAAATACATATTACCTTTACTATATGCAGATGATTTGTGTATTTTCGATGACACAGTAATAGGTCTGCAAAGAAAAATTGATATTTTATCCAATTTTATAAAATGTGGGGACTTGAAATTAACATGTCTAAAACCGAAATTTTGGTTTTCAGAAGAGGTGGTACTTTAGGGTATGATGAACGATGGTTTTTAAATGATAAAGGTATCAATGTTAGTAATTACTATAGTTATCTGGGTGTTCTGTTTTCAAATAAATTAGATTGTCTTCGACTAAATGCAAAGGCTTTGTTTGCTATTAAACAATTGCAGTTTCACTTTGTAAATATGCCAGTTAACATTTTATTTAAATTGTTTCATATTAAGATAAAGCCCATTCTTCTTTATGGTGCTGAGATCTGGGGTTGCAAAGGCAGTCAAATTGTCGAAACTTTTCATACTAAGTTTTGTAAATTTGTTTTAGGAGTTGGTAAATATGTATCAAGTACAGCAATATTAGCTGAATGTGGAAGATCTAGCTTGCATGTGGATTATCATATGAAGTGTGTTAAATACTGGTGTAAACTTATTAGAATGAATGATGAAAGATATCCCCGACAGTGTTATTTGTCAATGAAGAAGCTGGATGAATGTGGTAGAATTACTTGGGCAACTCATTTTAAATATTTACTCGACATTTATGGATTTGGTTATGTGTGGCACGAACAGAATATTGGTGATGTTAAGTGTTTCTTGCAGCTGTTTAGACAGCGTTTGTTGGATTGTAACAAACAGAGTATACAGATGAAAATTTATGACTCTTGCAAATTAAGGTATTATTCACACGTCAAGATATTATTGGATATGGAATATTATGTTACAGCTTTCAGAAATAGAAACCATAGACGTATGCTGTGTCTGTTGAGCTTAAGTGAATTGCCTTTTCGGAGTAATCTGGGCAGAAGAGAGGATATTGTTTATTCACAACGCTTTTGTCGGCTATGTAACAAGTCCATTTTGTGTTTGTCTGCCCGTTTTACGCATCATTAAGACAAAAGTATATTCCTGTAAGATTCTATAACAATCCATGTATTAATACTTTTAGCAATCTCTTAAATAGCCAAAATGACTGTATACTCAGAAATGTAGCTAAGTATGTGAAGGAAGCTCTATCATTACGTATAAAGACCTAATATTGTACCCTTAGTATTGTTTTCAATGTAAATTGCCTCAATTGTGTGTTACTATATATAACTGAAATGTACATGGGCCTTTGACCTCCCATACATGAATAAACATATATATTAAGTGTCATAGATACAAATATGAAATGTTGGAGCTCGATAATCACATGTTGTCGTTGTACAAAGGCATTGAAAACTGTTCATTGTCATGTCACACAAGGCCACAAGGTTGCGCTGAACTCAGTATCTCGCGTGGACGCCCCGGGCAGAAATCACGGCTCTGCATCTCCTTGACACTGACTGGATAAGAATTCTGTCCTGTGGAATTCTGCGCCATTCTGCTTGTATCGCGTTGGTCAGTTGTGGGAGTGTCTGCAGCGTGTTCTGACGTTGACGTACACGTCGATCGAGTTCATCCCAGAGGTGTTCGATTGGGTTGAGATCTGGAGATCTCGACGGCTAGGGAAAGTAGTTGATGTTGGCATTATGAAGGTAGTCTACCGTGACACGAGCTGTGTGCGGTGGAGCGTTGTCCTGTTGAAACAGCTCCCTCTGGTGGTCAATGATTGGAAGAAGGTGAGGTTGAAGAATTTGATTCATGTAGCGATTTGCTGTCAAATTTCCCTGAACCACAACCAAGTCAGATCTGATGGAGTAGGATATGGCCCCCCACACCATGACACTACCGCCGCCGAATTTGTCGAATTCACGTACACAATGTGGGGCAAAACGCTCATTTCGACGACAATAAATACGTTGTCTTCCACGTAGTGATTCATCGCTAAACCACACTCGTCTCCAGTTTCTCAAATTCCAAGGCTGTAAGGTATGGCACCAACGCAAGCGTCTCTGACGATGGATCTGTTGCAAAACAGGGACGATAACTGGTCTTCTGGGTCGGATTCAAGCCTCGCGAAGATGGTTCCTGACGTTCTGGTCCGATATCCTCCTCATACCAAGGATGCGTCCTGCAGTCTCCGTAGCTGTGGCATTGCGAAAACGTAGGTGGAACAGTCGAATGTAGCGATCCTGTGCAGGGTTGGTATCTCTTGTCGGACGGTTCTCGGACGGTCTGCAGTGGAATTGAACTGTGTGTATCGGTCATTGTGCTGTGGTGGACGTTGAAGTGGCGTGCAATAGAAGACTGCGATTCCCCTCTTGTTCCGATCGGCAGCGCTAAGTCTCGGGGTTTTCGAACTTGAAAAATGTTGACAATTGAATGACAAATTATTGGCTTATGCTTGCCGTTTTAAAGCCACTATCACGAGTTACGAATGCTATAACGTGCACGTGCATTGTGCTTTACTGTTTTCCTCCATGACATTTTTGAACAAGTGTGAAAACAATACCGTTTAGGACATTGCAAATCGACAATGGCTGCGTTTTGACACTGTTTGTCGTATATCAGACCACCAACATTTTCCAATAACATATATCAAATTTATATGCAGGATTGTTTGTGTAGTCAGGTTTTTCTATTTTATGAATAGTGTCCACGATTAGCGTCAAGTATTGCCGGGCATCTCCTGCCAGTGGAAGAAATGAGAGTACGGTCGCTCGGCCTGTGGTGCAAGTGCAAGGTGTTGCAATGTCTATGGCTCAGAATGACTGTCGTAGGGGGCGTTCCATCTCGTTCCATTTGTGTTCCATCGGTTTAAAATCTGGCGATTAAGGGGACCACGGGAGAACCTGTACAATGTAGTATGAATGTTGCTGTAGCTTGTGCTGTAATCAGTCTATCAGTTGAAAGATGACATCTGCATGGTTCATAGTATGACCACTAATTCATCACAATAGCCTTTGGCCGTGAAGTTGCCTTGAACTTGCATCTGGTTTGTTCTACCAGCCCGGGATAAATCCGCCCATTGTCATGACGCTACAATTCTGATGCTGATGGCGAGGAAACATTCATGGCGACGCAAGTACGACCAGGCTCGTCAACTCGATGCAGCCAGCATAAGTCTTGTGTCGACGCTGAACAAAAACAGTGACTATCACTGGCCCATACTCTGTGTGATTAACACTACTGACGTCGCAGTTGATGATACGTCTGCCTCAAAACAACACTTCTGACAGGCCGTCGGTCTCTGAGATGTGCCTCGCAAATGTGGTTCCCCACTGTCTGGTTACGAGGTTCTACACAATCCAGGGCTTGCTGCTGTTACACCTTTGCCGCAAATGATGAAGCCGTATGAATCGGTTCTAGGCAGCCGTAATAAGTTGGTCACCGATACCCAGTCTACAAATGGTGCTCTGGCTACAGACGACTGCGATCCTACCCGACTTTGTCTGTGCTCGAGTAAGCCGCATTTGAACAGCCAACTTTTTGGCAATTGAAAACACACCCCACCCGCCTCACTTTTATGGGACTATTCCTGATGTTTTACGTGCATCGATCCCGTGGTTCTAACATGGGGTAACTTCTCAGGTATGCAACGTTTGCGTTATGAATTGATCATTGCTGCGTTTTGATGATTCCAACATTGACGTTGATAATCAAGTGACATCATATTCATGTTTCACATATCGTGTATGTGCTTTATGTTTTTCAGTATCACCTATGTGTTCTGTCATCCGGAGTATGTGTTCTTTCCAATGCAACAGCAGTTAAACAATGTTCTCTCCACAAGAGAATGTGGTAATAATTGCTGAAGGCAAAATGTTTTAAGAGCAAAACTATGTAAACCTTTGTATTATACGTTCCCGTCTTTGAAATGAAGATTTATGATGTATCTCTGGAGACTTTCCATTACCATTATCTTGACGGTCTGTTACATCGCCGTGCTCGATGGTGACAATGCAGTGTCACAGTAGTGATAGAGGATGATAGTTACTCACGGTGAGCAGAGTGCTTTGGAGCAGCTGAACCTGTCACTGAAGTCGCAGACCGCCCTGTATTGCGGGTCATTCTCCCGCCTCACCTCCACCCTGAGTGCGTACAGGGACACGCCCACCCCCAGCACACTGAGCAGCACCCGGTCTGCCATATTGGACATCAGCAGCCACGCCACACACATCATGCATGCACCAGCCGTTGTTGTAGATGAAGTACCACGGAACCTAGAGTCGACATATGCCATTTGTTACTGATATTCTATTGGACCTTGTGTCAGTATGTTATTAAGCATCACTGCTCTGCCTCTAATTTTACGAAACATGAGTGGCATGGCTTTAGGTCGTTTGTTTTCCCAGCCGACACAAACTAAACACAAGAATCGCAGTAGCATAAGCTCAGTATTTTGCCAGATGAAGACAAGAGGGATGGATGGAGTTCAACTCTTTTTCTTCCTATGGTTTAAATGCGAAGAAAAACAGATTATTTTGTTTCTAAATGCCTCTTAAATACATTGGTGATCGACATCGTGAGTTGGCTTTACCGTTATGAACGTAAGCAGCAATGCAGATAGTGTATGTTAGATTTTGGCGACTCGTGTATCTGCACACATCTGAAACGCTTTCCTCCACTGCCGGTGGATTAATATGACAAGATATACAGAGACTCACAAGCTTGGTATTACCGGTCATTATTTACAGTAAACGTCGCACTTTGCACAGGTGGTGTGGTTGGGACACAGGCACAACGTGGAATTACATGTAATGACTCCCCTACTAAGGTATTTAGTCTCACCTTGTACAACGTGTGTTGTCGCCGCTGTGACGTCCGGTTGATGTGAGCCCCGTCAGTGAAGCGGTGGGGGCGATGTGTGGTGGGTGTAGTCGTTCATCTTTCAGCGCCGCGTCAGCAGCGGATCTGCATGTCAGTCTTCTAGCAGACGACGGAAACTCCACCAATCATATCATGCCACGTTTGCAGAGAGTGGGAAGCCCAAGAGAAGAGGGCTACCAGCAGACGATAATTACACGTTCTGTGGCTTCCTAAACAGATCACAATCAATACAACGCGAGGCATTGGAGGAAGGTGACATGAAAAGTGGGCTTAATATATAGCAGTGAATGATTACTAAAATTGTCAACTGAATATGCCCATGTATGATACATACTGAGATTGCCCTATGTTGTTGACGCGTTGGGAGGTAAAGGGTTTACGTGTTATAGTTACCAATAAGCAGCATGCGCTGACCTAATTACAGAATGGAGTCATGAGTATATTTAATTACTGAGATCACTTTGGAAGGTTATATACTTGTTACTTATATGATCGGTCAGCCGTTTGAATACCTTGTCACGTACATTATCTAGTGATCTCAATCGGCACGTACATCGCCTAGTGGTCTCAATCGTCACGTACATTACCTAGGAGTTGTCTCAATCGTCATTTACATTACCAAGTAGTCTCAATAGTCACGTACATTACCTAGTGCTCTCAATCGTCACGTACAATACCTAGTTCTCGTCTCAATCGTCACGTACATTACCTAGTGGTCGTCTCAATAGTCACGTACATTATCTAGTGGTGGTTTCAGTCATCACGTACATTACCTAGTGGTCGTCTCAGTCGTCAAGAGCATTATCTAGTGGTCGTCTCAGTCGTGAAGAGCATTATCTAGTGGTCGTTTCAATCGTTACGTACATTACCTAGAAGTCGTCTCAATCGTCACGTACATATCTAGTGGTCGCCTCAACCGTCACGTACATTACATACGGTGGTCTCAGTCATATCAACACAGAACACGCCACCTCCAATACGGCTCAGGACATTTACTTCCTTGCATACAGGTAACCAGACTTGCGAGATATAACATGCATTTGTGACAGCAATGGTCAAATACTAGCTTACTAGCATCTCGGCACTACCGATGTGTCTATGGCCTTATAGTTACCCATGTGATCCAACACTCTCGCTGCCAGATACTGGGGACACAATCCAGTTCCTCTCACCACTACAATCAACAATGAATGTGCAAACTGTCTCACAACATGTGCTCCAATGGTGAGAACATACGGCTTTAAAATAATAGTAGTAGGCAATTCTGTCAATACAATGAGGACCCCATTTATGGTCTATCTACTTGAACAGCAAAGCTGCAAACTACCTTGGCAAGTACTTGAGATCCCGCTACATGTTTTCTGTCCATGAGAAACTCTGCCACCGATCTGAACACATCCAAAATAGCCCCTGCCACTAACATCACTGTGTTCTGTCCAAGCAGAGGAGCTATCAGCACACAGGGACCTCGAGTTATACACGGAAATGCTGGACAACCAGAAACTGAGCTGTTCAAGACTCCACTAGTCAAGCGCTGACTGACAGAACCAATAACAAGCTTCATTGCAATTATCTGGCTTACTACAACTGAAGACTGCGATTACCTGAATGCTCTAGATTGGTAAACTGAACTGCGAAAGAAACTTTGCACATTTTAAAATAATGTGAATATAAATAACTTGTACTGGTTCAAACCCAAATAAGTACAAACCCATAGCCCAAACGCTTAGTTGTTGTACCTGTAATTTTTAACGGCAATGCGCCCGTGTTTTTTTAGAAAATGCGAAAAATGTAAAATCACATGATATGACTGGTGGTAGAAATGCACGTGCCACAGGGGTATAACAACTGCACAGAAGCAATGTCAAACATCCACCTTGTAAAAAAAATGATGATGACCACGCACACCCACATTGGCTGTTCCCGTGTTGCCGTTGGAAACTTGTTGCAGCGTTTCAGACAGACCGGAAGGACATCGGACAGACCGAGGACAGGAAGACCGGTATCTGCGAACGTTGCACCTCCGCAACCGCCTCCTCAAAGTGACGTTATCGGCAGTGAATGCTTTCGGCGGTTTAGCACACAAACAGTGACCAAAAGACTTCTGGCAGCAGGTATCAGGGCCCACCGACCGTTCAGAGGACAGATGTTGACCGCTGAACATCGACGCAGACGAATACGATGGGCTGAAACAGTGCGACGGTGGCAGAGTTGAGATTGGCAACGCGTGGTCTTTACGGACGTAAGCAGGTTCTGTTTGTTAAGAGTTCAAGAAGAGGTGGTGTAATGGTGTGGGGTGGAAAGCCACTCGTCGTCATCAATGGAAACTTCAATGCGCAATGTTGTAGAGATGACATCCTCCGTCCAGTATTGCTGCCCTACCTCCAGAAATAAGCCTGAGGTGTTCTGAACCAACACGACAACGCCAGGCCCCACACAGCTCGTATCGTAGTTATCTTCCTTGCCATCAATAACGTCAACGTCTTACCGTGGCCGGCATGTTCTCCTGACATATCACTCATAGAACACCTCTGGGACGTCTTGGACAGGCGAGTAAGAGTCCGACCACACCCTCCCGCCAACAGACAAGAGTTGATACAAGCTCTACAAGATGAATGGAACCGCCACGGGGTGGCCACATTCGGTACTAAAGTGACAAATTTTGTGTCTTTGACCACTTTCTGTGTTAGAATGAATTGCAGTGAAAATCTGGACAACTGAATTTTCAACTCCCACTTAATTTAATTGTCTGGTGTTCACAAAATGTCAAGTTTAATTTGTTCAATACTTTGTGAAATTGATGGTTTATTAAATATTCTTTACCACAAACCTTTGTTATTTTTAGTTTATTAATTACAGTCATTTCAATCTAGTGCAAAGTTTCTTTTGCCGTTCAGTTTAGCCTTGAGTTTGCTGATCGCCCTGTCTGGTAACGTGCACTGTGGAGTGTCTACCCCAAACCCACGCCATTCTAGAAGTTATGGCGGCCTGTTTAAACTTAGAATTGTTGCGGGGTATTAGCTCCGGGATCTCCACGCCTTCAAACACAGAGAGGATCTCAGAGCTACCCTTGTATAAACCCGAGACCTCCTGTCCACGTTTGAAAGCGAGTCGATACCCGCCTGTCCAGGTGAGAATTTTTGTTTTGTTTTTTATCAAATTTGTTATTCATTTTAGAAAGATGTTACATTTCCACTTGTTCAAATCGTTTTCACGTACAACTTGAGGATAAGAATGTGACAGTGATGCAGTCAGACAGAATGCTAATAATATATTGTACAAAAAATAGTCACTTATCTTTCCAGCAATAAAGTGCTCCACTTGGTCCACTTGAACAAAAATATCTTTAATCATTCTTGAAATACATCCATATATATATATATATATATATATATATATATATATATATATATATATATATATATATATATATATATATATATATTCTGCTGGTACAGTTTGCGCTTTCGAAGGTATATTTTTTTAAATGCAACCTTTTGAGTGTGTAATTAAATTCAGCATCAAATTCCCGTGTTCTGGACATTCAAATGACATTAAGCCTTTAGAGTTGCACGTCAGTTGTTGAACTGATGATAAAACCATAATGGTTCAATTAAAATGTTTTCTAAATCAGTTTGATTAGTTTTAAAACAAGACCTGTACCTTTTCCAAGCTGCAAATGCATCCCCCCAAATGGGTTACTAATAGTAGTATTATCCTCTATATCAGCCCCTAACATTGCAAGTTTCTCAATTGGGACTTTACTAGGGTTTGTGAATTTTCGATGACAGAAAGATCGCTTAATGGTTGAGATCTTCAGTGAGTCAATAAATATTTGAACAGCAGGGCTATTCACTGCATCTCTGAATAGAAAGAGTCTAGCCTGTGTCTCTGAGACGAGGTATGGTATTTATGTTTTATTAATAGTGCATGATTAACTCTAAATAAAGTGTTAGTCGCTGAATAGCAAGCATGGGTTGCTGAAACCCATGTGGGTGTTCAGGCTCGCTGACGTGGTTGGTGCATGTCATCGTATTCCAATGGCGTAGATCGATAGTCACAATATTGTTCAGAGGAAGTTTGTTTTGCTCGTATGGCATGTGCGCAACGGTGTAGTGACAGTGCTACCCTCACAAATACCATCGTTTAACGTCTTTTGGCATGGTAAATGACGCGCCCAGAGTTTGAACTACCGACCGTGAAGACCTGGGTTAGAACAGGTCTTCAGCAACCCATGCTTGCCATCAAAGGCGACTATGCTTGTCGTAAGAGGCGACTAATGGGATCGGGTGGTCTTGCTCGCTGACTTGGTTGATGCATGTCATCGTATCCCAATTGCGTGAATCGATGCTCATGATGTCAATCACTGGATTGTCTCTGATTACACTGTCGCAGAAAAGTTCTCACACAAAGTATATAGGCCTACTAATGATTATTGCAAGTTTTCCTGGAATGTGCCTATACCATGACGTCATAAGTTCAATGATTACTACAGTGGTAAATGCCCTTGACCTGCATTACTTTGGGCTTTCTCTGAAATACCAAGACTGGCTAAATACAATCTTTATTCCTATTACCGGAAGTTTACCCAAGACATACAATTTATATTTTAGGTGGATAAGCTGTATATTTTATTATCCGATTTAACTTTTACTTGACTTCACTATTTCTTTTATAGATATATATTACAATCGAATTTGTGGTATCGATAATTCATTTCATCATAATTATCAGCAAATGATTCTTCACCATAGAAATAGGGATTAAATAGTATTTTACGGCGTCTCATACAGCTAAGCTTTATGGAACCTTAATGGGGCCTCTCAAGAGTCTACCGTGAAGATTTTGCGTTGACACTGCGTATTGTAGGTATTCCTATATATAAATTCGGACATGCATTTTCTTATATCAGATATCAAAGATGTGAACTTAACCAAACAATCAAGACCGGTCTACTTTCTCGCATCATAAGGAACTTCCGGTGACAGCATGGCGGCGAAAAGGAAAGCTCGCGACGTTTCAAGCCCGTGGATTCGAAATAGCATATTAATATTGTGTAGTTTAGGTATAATTATATCTGGATATGCGTATCATGTAGAAATTTCCAAAGAGAAGGATGACTCGTACAGAGCTTTGTGTGATCTCAGTGAGACAATCAGTTGTTCCAAGGTGTTTACATCACGGTAAATAAATATGGCGATGAATAATTTGATGGGGCCTTGTAAAGGTTCACAAATTGTTAAGAATTTCATTTTGATCATGTCAGAGTTGAAAGGCCTCCGCGTTATGTATGAACAAGGCAACATGGCGGTTGACCGAGCGCAGCTTCTATGCCTCAGGCTGTGGGTTGTGGCTCTGGTTTCACTGATCATGATGATCTCGTATATACCAGACTTACATCTAGTCTCTGACATAAAAAATATTTTGAAGAAAAAAACCCAGTAGTTGAATGTTTTAACTCGCATTGGATATATTTGTTTCGGGTCTCAATGACGGACTACTCGTTACCATTTTCGATCCTTATACAAGTTATAGTGTTATTTGTGTTTTGGTAGGTTACCTCCAATTCCATCTTTGGTCCTTGTATATCCCCTTTCTGATTTAGCATCCATTACGATCCTTAGTTATGGTTACTTCAGAGTAAGGGTTACCGTATTCGACGTAATAAGCGCCCACTAGTGAACAATCCCCATTGCAACCCTTCCAATTGATCAATGTACACAAGACTTATTTATTCGTGTATAATACGCACTCTTGTGTTATATGCACCCTTAATTATTGGCAATTAAATTCTGGAAAATTATATCTGTCGTATTTCAGGCTGTCAGCATAAACCACGAAATTTACGATCTTTCAACTCTGTTTTTTTTCCTACCAAAATGATATTCTAATAAGAGCCCCCTATTTTTAATTTTGAGTGCGCTCTGGGCACTTATTACGTCAAATACGGTAGTTATGGTTAGTTCATGTGATGCAGGGTTATGTCTGGACTGTGGAACCCCATCACTGCTCTCACCTAGGGTTAGTTATCTCTTGTAATTAATTAATCCAATGTAATTTGAAAAAAATCCGCAATTTTCATCAAGTTTTGAGTTTCGCAGTGAAAATTGTTACTGCACATGCGCTTAAAAGGCAAACAACCTGGTGAAGGGACTATATTTCCATAAAGCGACCTTAGCGCTAAGACCTTCTTCAGTCAATGTTAAATTACAGATGTTATGACCAACTACGGGCGCCATACAAAATAATAAGTGCTTGTTTACGAAGTGATCAGGGCCCCATTCCACAAAGTGACGTCAGTGTTAAGGTCATTTTTTTTTCAGGTCAGGTTTATTTTTTATGGGGCCCGTAGATGGTCAAGTAGATTAATTCATTAGCCTGACTCAGCTTGAAGCTGGCAATGTTAATTGAAATCTAAAAAAGTGCACATGCCAAAGTGCAGTAGTCCCATGAACCAGAGTGCATGGTACTGACCAAATAACAAATAAAGCAATTTCCTTTGTTGGGATCATATTCAGTATGGTAGTTCAGGTATGTAGAAATGTTTTCGATAATAACTGAGCCTCAAAACTGTTAGGAACTAGTGAACAGTGTCCTCATTCCGTCAGTCTGAATGTAACATTTCTGTTGTAGATGGGGAAGAGGCTTTGGCCTGATTGACAGAATTGTTGGACGTGAAAGCTGGCTCAACCAACCTAACAGTGTATTTGGCATGGCCTTCTATGCTTTTCAAGTCACCCTAGGTTTGTGTACAAGACTCCCGACAACTTGGAGCAATTGAATAATTACTGTAAATGTTGTCAGTTATCCTTCATATTGGGTGTTGCTAGTTGTCTTTGTGTCGTGAGTGTATGTGTATGTAATTTGTCCTACAATGAATAGTGAGTGAGTAGGTGCGTTGGGTTTAACTCAGCTTGTAACAGTATTCTCGTTATTTCATGGCATATCAGCATAATGTGGGAGGAAGGCCTGACATGATGCAGGTCTCTGAGGTTTACCACTTCAGTGAAACCCACGAGCATGGTATGGTGCTGACAAACCTAGAAACATAATCGTGGCTAACTGGGATTCGAACCCACAATCATAGGTTTTTGGCGTGCCCAAGGGAGGCAACTCTGCACAGTGAATTGTGGCGCCTTACACGACTGGGCCACCCGTGTCCCCCTATAATGAATAGGTTTCACAGCAAAATATAGACAATTAGGGGATACAGATGGTATCCATTGGGGTCATATGCGGATAATGTTTTTGTTTGTTTTGTTTGTTTGTTGTTTAACACTGCGCTCAGCAGTATTCCAACAACATGACGGCAGTGTGTAAATAATCAAGTCTGCACCAGACAATCCAGGTATTGATATGAGCATTGATCCACACAATTAGGATATGGTAACATGCATCAACGAAGTCACATAGTCGCCTCTTACAACAAGCATAGTCACCTCTAATGACAAGCATGGGTTGCAGAAGACCTATTCTAACACTGGGGTAACGAATAAGTATGCTTATATAAGTAGGTAAGTAGGTACAACCTTCAATGTTTACAAACAAACACAGCCCCGACCTTGTCGATCAGCGACTGAGTCAGAATTAATCATTTGGGATCTGGAAATATTACTGGGATCATTGTTATCATAATGTTTATTTTATATTTTTGTTTGTGCAGTGATCAACATAGCCTTTCACCTATTATTAACATTGATGTCTACACAATAGATGTATATATTTGTCGCCTACGTAAGGTTTTTCCCTTTATTTCCAGTTGTCATTTATCATTCAGAATCGTCCGTGAAGGATCACATTTTTTCTCATTCTAACATGATTGTACAAAGTGTCAAGGCACTTCACATGGACAATCCAAATGCCATGGCCACGGCAGTAGCAAAGACAGGAACTGACTACCAGCCCCAGCGACGTCCCAATATCCATTACCACCAATCAATGTTACAAACTTGCAACTTGAACTTTCTTCTCATCCAGACAGGAACTTTGATAATTTCTGATTCATGGTTTGGAGGATGGTTTTTCCCCCATGCTAAATTCTTTTCCCAAGACACTGTTGAATGTAGGAACAACCTGTTGCCACGCAAGGCCCCAGATGTCGTCACTAAGCAGTGGAAACAGATGTCACAAGGGGCTATGTGATTGGAGCCTTTGGGACACCACCATACAGCATGTATAAAAATTAAAAAAGAAGAGACTTATTCTGGATCTATCAGCACCTCATGACAGCGAGTCAGTCCCTTCCTTACTTACCTGGTACAGCGCAGCCACCAGTTTCCAATTCCATACCTGCAGGGTACACCTATCCTTCAATTTCATATAATCTGCCTCCCTCAACACCATCTACCTGCAGGGTATCCCTGTTCTCGCAGGCCGGCACAGCCCTGGTCCGGTGCAGCCACCAGTTTCCAGCTTTCGACTTTTCCACTCATTACTAGTATCTTTTAATTGTATCCATTGCCCATGTGTTCCTACGGCAGATTGTTTACACTACCACTTCTGGTTGTCTCGCTCTCAGTTATTTCTTAAATAGCAGCATTACATGACCTCCAAAATAATTACTTACTTACCTGGTCCGGCGCAGCCACCAGTTTCCAATTCCATACCCGCAGGGTGCACCTATCTTCAATTCCATAATAATCTGCTCCCACTAACACCTCTACCCGCAGGGTATCTCTATTCTCGCAGGCCGGCATGGCCCTGGTCCGGTGCAGCCACCGGTTTCCAATTTCATACCCGCAGGGTACACCTATCCTTAAATTTTGCTTGTCGTGTGATCCCCCCCCGGAAGATCTTTTGTGTCCTACCTTATAGACTTATCAACCAGAGTAGCCAAACTGCATCATCATATTCAGCTGTCTCAAGACCGTCGAATCGACTTACGCCTATGGAACCTTTTCCTGTCACAGTGGAATGGCATATCAGTATTTCATGATATAGAAGTGACATCCGCCTCATACCTGAACCTGAACGGTTGGCCATGGTGGATACTTCAATGGGGCCTGGTTTGCAGAGAAATGGCCATCAGACGTTACAAATTCCTGGAGCACGAATCTTCTATGACATTCATGGAGCCGATTATGGTTGCTGCTAAACTTTGTGGACATTTGGGGACACAGAGACGAGTGCTATTTCATTGCGACAACCAGGCCACTGTGTTTATTATTAAGAAAGGTCAATCAAAATGCAGGAAGATTATGGCTTTGATGAGAACACTGACTTGGACGGCAGCTAATAACAATTTTGTTCTGTTAGCTCAACATGTGCCCGGCATACATTAAAACATTTGATTAAAACATTGGGCAGGTGGATTTCAGACTGTTTCACCAGATACATCAGAACACCAGAAGAGAAATTAAGGAAAGCACAACGAGCATGATGCTATGAGTGACTCTTTCTTTCACTAGAGGCTTGACCACCGTGTGTGTTGTGACTGACATTATTCAGCTTCTAATGCCTCAGCCTACACAACTAACTGTTTCCCCAAAGTTTTCAGCCTGTTTCGCATGGTTGACGTCAAAAGTCGTATTCCCATGGCAGCCCTGAAGTTGTCCCTCAGCTTTGGTGCAGAAATGAATGTTTCTCAAGCAATGGTGTGTGCATGTCGATCCTGCCTGGGGCCAGCCTTTCTAGACCTTCATCTACCCACCCGAAGCTTAACCCAAGTTGTTCGCTGATAACGTTCCATCAGTCAGGATGTCACTTTTTCAATTTACCAAAGTGTCAGGCAACTGCATTCTGTGATTGGCCAGCTTCAATCATGCCGATTAAGTGCAGTTTGAGTACAATTTCTGTCATGTACACTTTTGGAGGCATTTTCCTTTGTTGTACTCTAAGAATGGTTTATTCTTAGACGTTATTATCACGTGCAGGTAACCAGGATGTGTTACATAGGTGAATTAGAGTTTAAGTGAATTTGCTACCTGCATTCAGTAACTGTGTCTCATACAACAAAGATGTCATCTCATCGTTATAGATGAAATGACAGGGGTTCCCTTATATATAGTTCTTCCTATATTTATGCACACATTCCAGGAAAACATGTTCATGTACTGTTTGTGAGAGATGATAAATTCTTTCAATGACAGAACTTAAGAATGATATCATATTATAAAGAGTTATCATGCTTGTATTTTGGGGGATTGTATTAGCAAACATTTATAACATGAATACACCATGGCAGTTTAAAAAATCCAAAGTACTCAAAAACATGTATTATTACATCTTCCCAAGGTAAGGCTATTACGAGTTATGTCACTTCTATGTCCCTCCTACTGACCAATCAGTTTCCACCTCTCATATCACTTGCATTTGCTTCAAACAAAATGGCGTCGCCCTGTCAAGATGATCTGATCGATAATCAAGATCTATATTGTAATAAAATGGGGCTTACCTCCAGCAGCACATCAAAACATTTGGACACTATGATTAAAAACATGAAAAGCTTTGGAAAATATGTGGCTATGCCCAGTTGACGATACACATGCTTTGCAAATCCTACAGTCAACCGAAATCTGCATGTTGGAATCCATTTTTATGAACCGGATGTCTAGTTGTTACACAATTTTGATTGGACTCTGTATAGACTCGTTAGTCCAGCCAGAATGTAACTCAAGTATTCCAGCCTAGTTCAGCAATTGTGGAAACTGGACTTTTATTATCAGTAAACTCCCTTGCTCGGGAAGATGGTATTATTGTCATGAAATTTTTCTGCACATAAAAAACACAAATTCCATTATGATACCTGTAGAAATGGCTGAATTATGGGCAGAAATGACATTTTCAAAATGGCTGCCATTATGACCGTGTTTAAACTTTGATTTGAATTCTGTGAGCAGAGACCTCATTGCAGAATTCATATACACTAAATTTCATAAACTTAGACGATTAAAAGTCAAAGACAATAGCAGGTCAAAATTCGAAAAGGATGAAAAGCGTGTCCATGTTCTGCTGCAGACCAAATACTTACTTCGTCTGTGTCAGGTTTGTCACCATGTTTAGATTATGCACAGGTTTTAGAGACATCATTGCCGAGTTTATCAGTGAAACTTTTCAGCATTAGAGGCCTTGCAGTTTCATCAGGATGTAAAAACAAGTACAAGTTTGAGAAAGATGTACAGACACCACACCATAATGTGAGGATTGATTTGGGGGTCCCTTGATTGAGAATCAAACAGAACCTGGGTTTCAACTCGCCTATGGAACTTGCGAGTCATCATGGCTTGCTTCATGTCATTTCTTAAGTCATGACCAGAGAGTCATGCAAAACTTTTTAGTCTACATTATTTTGATAAAAAACATGAACATGGGAAATTTCCTTTTTTTCAGAGATGTTTATATTTCAGTCTTGAAGCGTCAGTCAACTTGTTGATTAGCTAGTGAACAAGGTATTGTTTATAGGATGGAAAATCCAAAAGATGTTTTTTGTAGTCACAAGTACTGACTGATATTAATATTGAGTCACATTTGACTCATTGCAGTTTTGATTAGGACTGTTTTTGATGAAAAATGTTTCAAATATGCATGATTCCTGCATCATGTGAAAACGGGACTAAATACAGGCAAAAACAACATTCAGAAACAACATTCAGAATCCCCCCTTTACAACTCTGCTGTTACACACACACTTTACTGTGTGCAAGCTTACTTTCATATTCATCAAATGCTAATTTTTGTGTACACGTATAAGTAAAGAATAACACTGTATCATGTTTTGCCATGCATCTTGATCAATACTAAGATATTCAGTAACCTCTTCTGATGGTGAAACCATACATAGGTCACAACATGATACATATCACGATTTGCATATTCATGTCAAATCAACTTCTTCAATATAAATATTTCAGAGCAAGGTTATGGATCATCATGCATGTAACCATGGTAACCAAGTAACTATTTTATTGGCATTCTAAACGTTGATGAGTAAAAATGAAACGAGGCTATATGTAATAAACCAGAAGTTGTCATCCATGAAGTTGTATGTTTTGTTATCGTCATGCGTCATTGTACTACGGGTTCTTCCTCAATGTAAAGAGAGCAAGCAAATTAATTTATTTGAGCAAGTGTATTGTCTTGTATCGATACAGATCTACAGATAAGCTGTGTGTTTGCGTAAAATATCAACCCAAAATATTCAAAACCCAATTACTTTCAATTAACTTGCGTACAGAAACGCATGTATTAAAGGAAAAACTCAAATGTATAAAAACAGCATGCGTAAATACTCAAAGAAGCTTTTTCAGCATGCATGCAATGGAAAAATATAATAAACCAATTAAAATAGAAACTGTCATAACTCAATTGCTCAAATCTTTATCTGGAGCTCTGTGATACAGAAAAAAGTGTATTGTGTATCATACTGTGACATGATAACTTGTGATGCACTAGTTTATCATTCCACCCCTAACCTCTTCCTCCTTGCACACACACAGTTTATCCCTATCATGCAACCTACAGTCTTGTGTTGCAGCATACAACCCGACCTCAGTGGGAGCCATTGTGCAGTTTGTGTCATCAGTGATTGCCAACGTGGGCTCTGTGTACCTGGCGTACATCCTGTTCTTCGTGCTGAACGATGTGTGTATTGTGTGTATCAGCATGTACATCGTCAACTTCCTCCTCCTCCTCTGCAGCATCTCCAAGCTGAGGAAGTCAATGGCTGCCCAGTCCCAGAAGCTGAGGTGATGGCAGCCAACCAGACACTTGATACTGATGCAAGGACTCACCTCTAGAACCTCATATTAGTTCATTATGTCTTAGTCGTATGAGGCAACTAACGAGATCAGGTGGTTAGACTCGCTGTCTTGGTTGATGCCATCGTATCCCAATTTGGTGGATCGATGCTCATGTCAATCAATGGATTGTCTGGTCAAGACTCAACTATTTACGGACCTGCGGCCATATGGCTGGAATATTTCCGAGTACGTGTTAAACAACAAATGATAATTGTCTGGTCTTACCCCTATGTTGTTGAAAATACCCTTTAAATCTGGCTGGTCCAATGTCACAGTGATTGAGAATATATTGCTGCTATATGTCCATGTCTTCAACGAGAGCAAAAGTGAGTAGGAGTGAACCCTGGTTGTACTATTTTATTATTTATTGGAGTTGTTCATCAGTCTAATTGTCTTAAAACTGGGAAGGAAGGCAGCATCAGTTTACCATTCATCTAATCTCAGGTAATGTACCAAAATGCTTTTACTTAGCAGCATCATTAGTTTCTTGTTGTATCAAGTTTTGATGCAATGGTATTTCTATATCATGATATACAAGAGTCATCAGGAGATGACAAATTCCCCCGGGCCCTCACAAATTTGAAAGAACAATTCATCTGACTGTTACTTGAAGTCCAACTTGATGAGAGATTATCTAGTTTATCTGTCCATATGCAAGAGTAGTTATTGAGCTATCAAAACAATACCATGGAATTGGGATTCGGAACTTGGTATTTCTATGTCAGGTACACACCAATATGAACAGTCAAAGTCAAACTTGTTGCCATGGAAATGGAAAAATAATAACTTCTAAACACCCCTATGTAGCAATTGGCACCATATGGTAATCTGGTCACACTTGCACAAAGCGATCTTAGCGCTAAGACTATCGTAAGCGTAAGTATGGGAGTTACGATCATTTTAGCGCTAAGATTGCTTTATGCAAGTGGTCCCTGGTCATTGTGTGTGCATAGTTTCAAGAAAGAGTACCTATTAGTTTTAGACATATGGTCCGGACAAACGCACCACTATGAACATAGTCAAAGTCAAACTTGTTGCCATGGAAACAGGAAAAATTCATATTTCTTAAATTCCAAAATAGTAAGGGTCACAGCTTCAGCCCTTGATTAATACTTGTACCAAGTTTGGATGAAAAATGTTGAATAGTTTTTAGTTCCTCTCCGGAAATGACATCCACCTTCAGATAAGTCTAACTTGTTTCCATGGAAACAGGTCTCTAGTCCACATACATGTAGTGAGGATTGTCTCTAGTCCACATACATGTAGTGAGGATTGCAGAATGGCTTTAGTATACATACACTTGTAGTACACATACATGGATTTAAGTGCCTATAAATCATCAGATTTTAATATTCATATGGCTTTCTTCTACTTATGTTTTAGTGTAATGTTTGTTGTAAAGTATGATTCCAAGTGTGCTGTCCATGATGTCTAGATTTCATTGATTTGTAAATGTCCACTCATCAGGGTATTGAGCAACATGTTGAAAGTGGTAAATATACTGAATGCTCTTGGTACACTGCCTTGTTGTTGATCACTGCCATATGCTGGACATGTAATGAAGCTGCCAGTGCTAGAGGCAATGTCCTCAGATTCAGAGTTCAGTCTGGCTCTGTAATAGCTCACAGGTACATGTGTACAATTCTGGTTGATGTATCTGTCATTTTGAAAGTTAGCATGCCATTTTGATTATAAGGTCTATACCAAATTATACCTGTACAGTGTAAACGAGAAGACAGTCATCCATATCTTTTCAAATATGCTTAGAAATTAATATGGTTTTGAGTCTTGCTCATGAACTGAACCCTCACCCTGCTTTGACAGAGATTTTGAGGAGTCGCCACCTACGGTAGTTTCTGGAACACTGATGGATGGACCCTTTCCTTAGGCAAACGTTTGGTGGTGGAGTATTATGAAAATGAGATCCTCCAAAACAATATTCTTTAAAATACATGTTTATACATTTTCTTTTCCACTTAACAAACTCAGTGGTACTGGTAATTTACAGTTATTGCCAACATTTTCAGATGAGTCCATGACACTGTTCAATCTGTACACACCGGTCCCAAGTGGCCAACACTGTGGCAGTCTCAAGCCAGAGTTTTGTCAAATGTCTTTGACAGTTGCTGAAAATAATACAGAGAGACAGGTTTGGGATTGTAGAGTGAAAAGTGTTTGGCCCAGAATGGTGTGGTATTCCCAGCTGCAAGATGATCCCTTATCAGGATATATCTGCTGAACTGCACACGTTGACACAGTTGTCAGCTTGTCTTCTTTGACTTCTTTTTCAACAATTTTGGTGGGCCAAGAAACTTGAATGTAGTTCTGAAAAATAAAAATAACAAACTCTGACAGATTTCCTGGGTTTATAATGTAGGCAGGCACTTTCTTGTAGTACACATTTGACTGGCATTTGAAAGCTGTATGCACTGGGAATCTGGAGTAAAATACATGCTTTAGCATATCCACTTTTCTGTATTCAGAGTACAGTAAACTACGGTCATAACAAACTCAAAGGGACCACTAGTTTTAGTTAAGCATATATACAGCAAATGGCCAGGACCAAAAAGAAGGTTGGTTATAAACATAGTTTACTGTATTTACCTAGTTATTATAGCATTTCTCTTTGGAAAATACTTTAACCATGTGTAGATAATAGATAATACATTGATCTATTAGAATAGATAATAACTGATGTGTGTTAGTGTATAAGGTTCATTCACTTTTGCAGTGAGGAATATGCAAGCAGTTGACAAAATGGAGTTATTCCCTGTTTTGTATGGTAAATTCCACCTTCAGGCAATGATTCTGTAGCAGCACTGCTTCATGTTGGCGATAATCTGACCTAAAATATGTAGTTAAAGGACTCCCGAAATATGACAGTGACACAATATCCTACCAGATGAGGCATCAGTTACTGCAGTAGAAACACTTACTGACATGTCGAACAGATCGGACTGAAGTTGCAGAAAACTGAAACAGGAAATGCTATTTGGTTACCAGCAACAAAATTTTAAAATAGAAAGCTGGGTTTTGTCATTTATGCCATTTTCTTTAAACCTTTTGGTCATTTAAAGAAAACATTGAATCTTTCAATTTAGCATGAGTGAGTGAGTTGGGGTTGTCGCTGCTTTGTGCTGTATTGTGTCATATCACGGTGAGTCAGTACAATGTGGGAGGTAGGCCCAAAGGTGCAGGTCTCCGGCATTTACCACAAGCAGGAGTATGGTGCGGACATACCTAAACACATAATCAGGGCAAACCAGGATTCGAACCCACAAATATAGCTTTCTGGTGTGCCCAAGGGAAGCAACTCATGCCCCCTTCAAATATCCTCCTATTTCATCACTTGCCTAGTTCAGAAAAGACTGATAGACAATGGACCACATGCCATGCCATAAGCACTCCAAGTTAATACCTCAATATACTATAACTCAACAAGTTAATACCTTGACATCCTGTGGTGAACAAGACTTGTGTTGACTTACTTGAAAGACAGACAGAGCAGACATATCCCACGTCGATGAGGTTGCGGTGACAGAAGCAGGCGGCCCGGTAGTCAACCTGATCCTTGGGGGGCAGGGTTAGCTTGTCCCTCACTAAAGGGTCTGGCAAGAACACCCACTGTCAACACAAAGTCACCATGAGCAAGTCATAATCAGATACATACATAATATCCCTACAAATCTGGAAGCAGGTTTTGGATGCAGACCATATCTTGAAATAGAAATATTTTGTTGAAATATTAGATGAAATTGACTCAACATTCAAATATTCCAAATCAAATTTTCAAAAGTAATGAAGGTAACAAAAGCTCCACATTGCTCCATGAAAAGGGCTGAACAACTGGTAACAATGTGGTAAGCCAATTCTTGATGTGCCATAAAACATCAGAAGAGACATCATAAACAAACAAAGCATGAAATATCAAACTTATTTGCAGGCACCATGACGTTAATGATATTATTGCTGAGGATATCAGTTTGTGAGATGTAATATTGTTATGTTTGCAACAATGGCATAGGGGCCGGTAATAAAGTCTGAACGAATCTGAAATGTATGTCCTAATCATCCTTACAATGTTTCAGCTCTCATCCATAATCAAACCCCAGTCTAAATTAATTTGGACCTACTCGTGGTTAGCTTACCTGACTGAAAGTGAAGTGAGTTTATGTCATGGACTCTTCGTCCGACCTATGTCAGACATCACCGTCCAGCATACACATCATCTCAGAAACCATGAAACCAATGAAGCCAAAACTTTACATACATGTTCTCACCAATGACGAGAGATTTGAATTTGATGTTCAATATGGCCACCATATTAAAAAATGCAAAAAAATTCAAAAAATTGTTTTATGGGAAAAAACCCAGTTGCGCTTCATGCACGCTGCCCGGTTACACCTCATGGCGGGAATCAATACGTCACTTAAAAGATATGACGTAACGGTGACGTCATCCACGTTAGCGTCATCCACGTTAGCTTTCTGATTAACGCGCATCTCCGCTTGGATAGCCGCCCGCTCCAGACGTGTTTTGCCCTGTCTCATTTTAGCAACTTAAAACCACCTCCTCCCAAGCCTCCTCCTCTCTATCTCGCTATTTAGGTTCCTTTTTCTTAGTCATGTGCGTGTATGCGTTGATTCCCCCGTCTTTGTGGCTTATTTCATACAATTTCGGATTGATGAATTGTACGCTTAGGCGTATATACCTTGTAATAAATTTGTCCGCCTTTTGTGCGGGCCTAAACAACAATTTTCAGTGTCTGTAATTTTTGCCACAAATGAACTGGACGTTCTCGGGTCTAAGGGTTTTTGAGTATAAATATAGTTATGACCATGACTTGGTTATTTTTGTTCAAAATATAATGAAATTTGGTTTTTGTTGTGGGATCCAACATATTCATTGCATTTTAAAAAATTATGCATTTTGACTATGCTCTTAAATTGTCTCAACTACACCCATTGGACTACATCCATCATAATAGACCTACATAAGAAAGGCAATACAGAAGACCCTACAAACTATAGAGAAGTCTCTTTACTTAACTCACCACCAGGTGTAGAATATTTGCTTACATACTGAACAAGAGACTGGATACTTTCCTAGAAGATAAAGACATTATTGGAGAATACCAAGGTGGGTTCCGAAAAAATCATTCCACTGTGGACAAGATATTAATTTTACAGGCATTAATACAGAAACACATTAAACATAAAAAGGTACATTTTACTGCGGTTTTGCAGACTAAAGGAAAGCATATCATACTGTGTATAGAAATAAATTGATGTTTTAACAATGGCATTCACAGTAAATTCTTAAGAGTTATTCAGAGTATGTATAGTCACGTTAAATTTGCAGTTTCTGCAGGTAATGGAAAGACTATCTGAATATTTTACATGATCGGTTGGTGTCCAACAAGAATGTACTCTCAGTCCTAAACGTTTCTCAGTTTTTATTAAGGAATTAGTGGAATGTGTTGGCTCTAAGGTAGATGATGGTGTGTTCATATCAGAGGAGATGTACAGCATAATTTGTTTATTGTTTGCAGATGAACGGATACTGGGAGCAGATACTATAATAAGATTACAAAGATGATTATATTGTGAAATATGGGGAGTGTAAATAAATACACACAAAGCTAATATTACTGTAGATATTAAAAACTGGCGCCAGACTATGTAGATAGGAAAGATGGGCCTATAATAATGTACCACTTAAGACTGTTAGCTCCTATAAATATCTGGGTCCAATGATAACTCCTAAGTTAATCCACTAGCAGAACAGGCAAGTTCAGCACTGTATACTATTAAAATACTTCATATATAATATGCGAATAATGCCTGTCAAATATTTGACACCAAAATAGTACCGACATTGTATTTTATTGAGTTGTGGGGATACACTCAAAGCGAAAAAATAGAAATTACACGTAGAAAATTTTGTAAATATGTTCTAAATATAAATTATTGCTTGCCAAATGCTGTTGCATAAGGAAAATTTCCACTCTATACAAAATATTACATCATATGTATTAAATATTGGTTACATGTTTTATCAATGCCCACATACAGACATTAGTGTTATTGAGTGCTACGCGATACTTGTGACAGGAAATACTCAAATTGGCAGAGATTGGCTGTTTAGTTACAGCTTCGGATACCCAAGGGAGATGGTAATGAAGAAGCATTTATCTTTGTTCTGAAACAACATGTCCTTGACTGTGCTCAACAAAACTAGCATTCACTTCTCACAGATAAACCATCACTTGTATTTTATACAGCCATGAAATCAGAACTTCTGTTTGAATCGTATGTACAAAATATTAATGTACTTAACATTTTAAAAGTGAATACAATGCGTTTGGTGTTCAAAACATACATACAAACAACCAAGCCCATGATATGATGTCATAATTCATTGGAAAAGACTTGAGAAGACATTTCATCTGTCAAAGAATAAGTATATTAAGTATGGATAAGAATTTATGGATGAACAACTTCTTTATTACAATTATATTGTACAAATATATTGTATTTAAAATTAGAGTGAGTGAGTGAGTGAGTGAATATGGTTTTACACTGCTTTTTGCAATGTTCCAGCAATATCACGGCAGGGGACACCAGAAATGGGCTTTACACATTGTACTCATGTGGGGAATCAAACCCGGGTCTTCGGTGAGACGAACAAACACTTTTAACACTAGGCTACCCCACTGCTTTTTATTTGTAATTGGAACAGAAATGTAATCCAATACCATGATGCATGTGGTATGTAACTGCATAACATACATGTACGTAATATGGGTCATATGGTCATATACTCTATATTTGCCCGACTGAGGGAGGTTTCCTTAGGATGACATATTTATAGTTCAAATCCAATAAGATGACAAAGTTTGTTTTTCCTCAATATATATGTGAAAAATATTTGAATATCAACAATGACAGCAATGTTTGTTAAGTGGCCATCTTGTTGACATTTTAAGCTGTGGATTACCCATGCAGGTGACCTACATTGTCATGAGCTGAGCATGTTGCAAACTGCCACAGTGAGTGACGCTACCGCTGCAACACCAATGGTTCCATTCACCCCAGACTGTTGATCCATGTGTCTGACATGACGACGTGGTGGTGTCACCATTACACTGGCCATACAGCGGTCAGCCCTGCAGCCAGGGCAACACAATCACCTCATTTATTACACTGCTCTCAGATGTCCTCATCAAACATACAGCTTCCCATTGATCAAAGTGTTGTTGCATATGTTGCCTAGCAACCACTGTCCTGCAGGCGCCAGGGACAGGTGACCTCGCCTAGGACTGCAGGGTTTTCCCATGGCAAGAACATTAATCAAATCTTGGCCCAGAAACAAGCAGAAGCCCAGCAGCCAAACTAGATAATCAATTTTTGACATGCAAGACAGCCTCAGTAATAATTAGCATGCACTGATACACTTATTACCCCCTGATACAATAGGAAGAAACTCATCTGGTACCATATTAGCATACTGATGCATTCATCGAGTACTATGTCACTGCAGCATACTGATGCATTCATCCAATACTATGTCACTGCAGCATACTGATGCATTCATCCAGGTCTATGTCACTGCAGCATACTGATGCATTCATCCAGTACTATGTCACTGCAGCATACTGATGCATTCATCGAGTACTATGTCACTGCAGCATACTGATGCATTCATCCAGTACTATGTCACTGCAGCATACTGATGCATTCATCCAGTACTATGTCAGTGCAGCATACTGATGCATTCATCCAGTACTATGTCACTTCAGCATACTGATGTATTCATCCAGTACTATGTCACTGCAGCATATTGATGCATTCATCCAGTACTATGTCAGTGCAGCATACTGATGCATTCATCCAGTACTATGTCAGTGCAGCATACTGATGCATTCATCCAGTACTATGTCACTTCAGCATACTGATGTATTCATCCAGTACTATGTCACTGCAGCATACTGATGCATTCATCCAGTACTATGTCACCAACAGGTAAGGGAGGACATCTCCAACAGGTAAGGGAGGACATACTCTCCAACAGGTAAGGGAGGACATACTCTCCAACAGGTAAGGGAGCACATCTCCAACAGGTAAGGGAGGACATACTCTCCAACAGGTAAGGGAGGACATACTCTCCAACAGGTAAGGAAGGACATACTCCCCAACAGCTAGGGGACGACATACTCATCATCAGGTAAGGGAGGACATACTCTCCAATATGTGAGGGAGGACATACTGTCCAACAGGTAAGGGAGGACATACTGTCCAACAGGTAAGGGAGGACATACCCACCAACAGGTAAGGAAGGACATACTCACCAACAGGTAAGGGAGGACATACTCTCCAACAGGTAAGGGAGGACATACTCTCCAACAGGTAAGGGAGGACATCTCCAACAGGTAAGGGAGCTCATACTCACCAGCAGGTAAGGGAGCTCATACTCACCAGCAGGTAAGGGAGGACATACTCACCAACAGGTAAGGGAGGACATACTGTCCAACAGGTAAGGGAGGACATACTCACCAACAGGTAAGGGAGGACATACTCTCCAACAGCTAGGGGACGACATACTCATCAGCAGGTAAGGGAGGACATACTCTCCAATATGTGAGGGAGGACATACTGTCCAACAGGTAAGGGAGGACATACTGTCCAACAGGTAAGGGAGGACATACCCACCAACAGGTAAGGAAGGACATACTCTCCAACAGGTAAGGGAGGACATACTCTCCAACATGTGAGGGAGGGCATACTGTCCAACAGGTAAGGGAGGACATACCCACCAGCAGGTACTGGAGGACATACTCTCCAACAGGTAAGGGAGGACATACCAACTGTCCAACAGGTACGGGAGGACATACTCTCCAACAGGTAAGGGAGGACATACTCACCAACATGTAAGGGAGGACATACTCTCCAACAGGTAAGGGAGGACATACTCTCCAACAGGTACGGGAGGACATACTCTCCAACAGGTAAGGGAGGACATACTGTCCAACAGGTAAGGGAGGACATACTGTCCAACAGGTAAGGGAGGACATACCCTCCAAAAGGTAAGGGAGGACATACTTTCCAACAGGTAAGGGAGGACATACCCACCAACAGGTAAGGGAGGACATACCCACCAACAGGTAAGGGAGGACATACCCTCCAACAGGTAAGGGAGGACATACTCTCCAACATGTAAGGGAGGACATACTGTCCAACAGGTAAGGGAGGACATACTGTCCAACAGGTAAGGGAGGACATACTCTCCAACAGGTAAGGAAGGACATCTCGAACAGGTAAGGGAGGACATACTCGCCAACAGGTAAGGGAGGACATACTCGCCAACAGGTAAGGGAGGACATACTCGCCAACAGGTAAGGGAGGACATCTCCAACAGGTAAGGGAGGACATACTCACCAGCAGGTACTGGAGGAGACCCAGCATCTGAGGCACCTTGAGGTAGATCCCACCAGTGATGTCACAGGCCTGCCAACAATAACCACTGTCACTACATCACAAAAAAACTGCTCTTCTCCAATCAATCAATAATTTCTCAACTACTGCATCTTAAACAATCACAGATGGTTTCCCTACTAAATCATACACTGGCTCTCTTTACAATCATACATCATTTCTCTACACAATCTTGCCAGGTACCACAGAAACTAGTGTAGACTCTCAGAACACATTTTGCCAGTGGCACTATGTAGCATTATGACAGGGATTCATGCGAGTTGTAAAGGGGGCATACAGGATACATATTACTATTGGCTCCAAGGGGTGGTTATCTTGGTAAGCACCTACTTGCTGCAGCAGTCCCGACTCATTGTCCAGGATACAAGCATCCACCACTACATTCTGAAAGGAAATGATCATGACATCATTACATATCTCAGCACACATGTAGAAGCTGGTCAATGGAAGAATCTCAGTAAACTTGTACGAGTCATACACGAGGTAACTTAGAACCTTTAAGTGTCTACTTCCAGCAAGCACTCAGTACACTTGTACGAGTCATACACGAGGTAACTTAGAACCTTCAAGTGTCTACTTCCAGCAAGCACTCTGTGCAGGACCAGTGGTCATTACCTGTTTCTGAGCAGTGAACACAGCATTCATGAAGTTCATGTATTGAGTGGGGTTGTCCTCCGAGCCTTTGATCACCTGCAACAGGAGACAAACTGTTATGCAGGAAGTGAACCTGTCTTGTTTCAGCTTTCTCCCATGTCTGTACACTCCTCTCTGTAAATCCTGACATAGAGTGTTCATAAACAAACAGCCAAGATGTCAGCTCTCGTCATTTCCGACACACAAACTTCAAACTGTGGAGCCATCCACATAAATTCTCAACAATATCAAAGTACAGGGATGTGAAATCTCCGCGGAAAAGCGGAAAATCGCGTTTTTTAAAACAGTTCTCCTGGTGAAAAATCATTTTCTGCGTAAAAGTATAATCAAAGATTTAAAAAAAACACGCTGAAAAATATGATCGAAAACCGGACAATCGTCGCGGATTGTCCTGTTTTCGATCAGAGCTTTCAGCAGCATAGGTTTTCGGATATCATACGCTTTCTGACATGAATACTTGCACTTAAACGTGGGGTGTGGCGTCACACAGAAATTGTTAATGTAAAGTCAGATGATGGCTTGTTTTTAAGATAAAGTTGTCTATAAGCCTGTAAGTGAAAGAGATGTTTTACAGTTGTTCATGTGATTAGCGAGAAAACTATGAATGTTTCTTCAGTGTCCAAAACCCCATAACATGAGGATATATGTTGTATTAATGTCTTATATTTGCAATGGAGTTTTGTTTTTTTCAACAAAAGGTAAGTAAGTACAAGGTAAGTTTTTTTCAATATGCTTCAACATGGGGAAAGGGTCAGACATTGCACGCTTGTGACAGTTGTCCTTGTGTGTCCTTGTGTCTGGGGGATGGGGGTTGAAGTTTATGGCAGTATTGCCCCCAGACCTGGCAGGTAGCCAGGTGTGCGGAAGCTATGCCAGATTTTTTAATAGTACTGATTTAACTTCGAAATTTTACTGCATCTGCCATCTTGTTAATTTGACTTATTGACTTTTGCCATTGACTTATTACATTTCTTGGTGTTAATGTTGTCCAAACTGCACGAAATTGCTTAAAATGCAATCAAATGTTTAAAAAATTTCTGGGCATGCCCCCAGGCCCCCCTAGACTTTTCCTCTTTTTTTCAGGAAAACCTGCTCACATCCCTGAAAGTAGATTATTCAGTAGATAACGCTTTGTGTAACGCTTTGATAGCAAGTGGAAACCAGTTCAGTGTCAGCATCCAAACCCCTTCAGCGTCAAAAGTCCTTCAGTGTCAGCATACCAACCCATTCAGTGTCTAGCATCCCAACCCCTTCAGTGTCAGCATCCCAACCCCTTCAGTGTCAGCATCCCAACCCATTCAGTGTCAGCATCCCAACCCCTTCAGTGTCAGCATCCCAACCCCTTCAGTGTCAGCATCCCAACCCCTTCAGTGTCAGCATCCCAACCCATTCAGTGTCAGCATCCCAACCCATTCAGTGTCAGTATCCCAACCCCTTCAGTGTCAGCATCCCAACCCATTAGTGTCTAGCATCCCAACCCATTCAGTGTCTAGCATCCCAACCCCTTCAGTGTCAGCGTACCAACCCCTTCAGTGTTACCATCCCAACCCCTTCAGTGTCTAGCATCCCAACCCCTTCAGTGTCAGCGTACCAACCCCTTCAGTGTCTAGCATCCCAACCCATTCAGTGTCTAGCATCCCAACCCATTCAGTGTCAGCATCCCAACCCATTCAGTGTCAGCATCCCAACCCATTCAGTGTCAGCATCCCAACCCCTTCAGTGTCAGCATCCCAACCCATTCAGTGTCTAGCATCCCAACCCATTCAGTGTCTAGCATCCCAACCCCTTCAGTGTCAGCGTACCAACCCCTTCAGTGTTACCATCCCAACCCCTTCAGTGTCTAGCATCCCAACCCCTTCAGTGTCAGCGTACCAACCCATTCAGTGTCTAGCATCCCAACCCCTTCAGTGTCTAGCATCCCAACCCCTTCAGTGTCAGCATCCCAACCCCTTCAGTGTCAGCATCCCAACCCCTTCAGTGTCAGCATCCCAACCCATTCAGTGTCAGCATCCCAACCCATTCAGTGTCTAGCATCCCAACCCCTTCAGTGTCAGCATCCCAACCCATTCAGTGTCAGCGTACCAACCCCTTCAGTGTTACGATCCCAACCCATTCAGTGTCAGCGTACCAACCCCTTCAGTGTCAGCGTACCAACCCCTTCAGTGTCAGCATCCCAACCCATTCAGTGTCAGCGTACCAACCCCTTCAGTGTCAGCATCCCAACCCATTCAGTGTCAGCATACCAACCCCTTCAGTGTCAGCGTACCAACCCCTTCAGTGTCAGCATCCCAACCCATTCAGTGTCAGCGTACCAACCCCTTCAGTGTCTAGCATCCCAAACCCCTTCAGTGTCAGCATCCCAACCCATTCAGTGTCTAGCATCCCAACCCCTTCAGTGTTAGCATCCCAACCCCTTCAGTGTCAGCGTACCAACCCCTTCAGTGTCAGCATCCCAACCCATTCAGTGTCTAGCATCCCAACCCCTTCAGTGTTAGCATCCCAACCCCTTCAGTGTCAGCGTACCAACCCCTTCAGTGTTAGCATCCCAACCAATTCAGTGTCAGCGTATCAACCTCTTCAGTGTCTAGCATCCCAACCCTTTCAGTGTCAGCGTACCAACCCATTGAGTGTCAGCATCCCAACCCCTTCAGTGTCAGCGTACCAACCCCTTCAGTGTCAGCATCCCAACCCCTTCAGTGTCAGCATCCCAACCCATTCAGTGTCCAACACCAATGTAAACCAACACCTACCAAGATTCTTGAAGTCAGTACCAGGCCAGATCCACTTTCTTTTTCCATGCGATGGATATCTGTTTGGTTCAGGAAAACCTGCTAGTGTCAGCCCAGTCTATTGCACATCATCACACCCCACAATCTGAGGCCCCTCCCCCAATATCAAATGGTTGGACCCTGACAAAGGTTCTACACTGTATAAGGAGGAAGGATACAGCACAGCGCCATGCTGAGAGGGCCTGCAATGAGGGAGTCCGAATACAGCTCCCCCTCCAAGCCTGAAACATACCATTTCACTTAGAAATGACCTCAAACTGTGACATTCAAAACTAAAAAGACTAAAAAACATATAGCTGTCAGCACTGCTTTCCCATACTTCCTGTACAAAAACTGAGGAGTAAAGCACTAAACTGTAATCATGCTAATGATCTGATTTGTTTGTTTGTTGTTTTAGTCACTCAGCAATATTCCAGCTAAATGACGGCAGTCTGGACCAGACAATCCAGTGATTGATGTCATGAGCTTTGAACCACTCAACTGGGATACAATGACATGCATCAACCATGTCAGCGAACCTGACCACCCAATCACGTAAGTCGCCTCTTACGACAAACATAGTTGCCTTTTACGGCAAGCATGGGTTGCTGAAGACCTATTCTACCGCAGATCTTTATGGGGTACTATTGATTTGAACAAGCTATGATGTGATCATAACATAAGGAGAATCATACATGTCAAATTTCAGCTCCCTCAGTCAGTTTCAGGGGAGAAGTAGTTAACACTGTGAGGTCTGCATTTTAAGAGAATTTTAGAGAGTGGTCAAAACAAAGTAAACTTCAAAATATTGCCCAAAAAACAGAACATGTGTTGAACTACTAACAACTAACTAAACAATAAACAGATTTTTCAATATGGTTGCTACAGCAAAAGAATTAGAAAATCGTGAACAATTCAGGTGTCATCATCGTGGAATAAGCATGGCATTGTAAACTTTCAGCTGCATTGAACCAGAGATGTTATGGTGCTTCATTCAACATTCACATAATGAATGGTAGGTAGCCGGGTGCGTGAAGCTATGCCAGATTTTTTTTAAAGTACTGATTTAACTTTGAAATAATACTGCATCCGCCATCTTTGTTTATTTGACTTACTGACTTTTGCCATTGACTTATTACATTTTTTAGGTCCAAGTCATTGACCTGTATACAGCCTTTTGTGTCAAAATCACTGGATTAGATGGTGCAATAAAATGTTGACAAAGGATCATGTGCAGCATGACTAATGCCTTTTTGGCAAATACGAAAACATAGGGGGTTGCTCCAGATTGTAATTCAAGTGACCTCCCTACCCCAAATCAAAGTTTGGCTTAGCACATTAAGGGTACTACAAATTCATGTTTGTACCTTGTAAAACCAGCTGCTGGATCTGAGCCTGTATCTGTGCGTTGACCCGCCCAAAAAGTTCATACTTCCCATCCACCTGGCGATACTGCTCCATCTCCGCATCCCCATCCCCTGTTTCGACTGCTGCTGCAGCCTCCTCCCTCGGGTACAGGAACTCACTGCAAATGGGGAAGCAACAACTTCACATTCAAAATCAAGTGTCCTCATTGCTTTAAGTAACTCCTCCTCCATGAACAATCAATGCTCAACAACAGAATAGAAGGCCATTTTATACATGTAAATTTCCTCTGACAGGACACGTGTCATAGTTTGACACATTTGTGTGGAATTACCTGTGATTTTATAACATAATTTCCTCATTATCAAATACATTTCTGAAAACATGGTAAACACTGTATGATTGTCAATGTGAGGAAGGAGGTTCAAGTGCATCAGAGACCTCCCTCCTCCAGACCGATCCCTGATGACTCCAAGGCAACACTCGAGCTACCACCCTCCCACACAGATATCCTGGTGCGTAGCAGCCCCTCCCTCTGACCTCTGGTTGGTGTGTAGCAGCCCCTCCCTCCCTCTCTACCTCTGGTTGGTGTGTAGCAGCCCCTCCCTCTGACCTCTGGTTGGTGTGTAGCAGCCCCTCCCTCCCTCTGGATGGTGTGTAGCAGTCCCTCCCTCCCTCTCTACCTCTGGTTGGTGTGTAGCAGCCCCTCCCTCTCTACCTCTGGTTGGTGTGTAGCAGCCCCTCCCTCTCTACCTCTGGTTGGTGTGTAGCAGCCCCTCCCTCCCTCTGGATGGTGTGTAGCAGCCCCTCCCTCTCTACCTCTGGTTGGTGTGTAGCAGCCCCTCCCTCTGACCTCTTGTTGGTGTGTAGCAGCCCCTCCCTCTGACCTCTTGTTGGTGTGTAGCAGCCCCTCCCTCTGACCTCTTGTTGGTGTGTAGCAGCCCCTCCCTCCCTCTGGATGGTGTGTAGCAGCCCCTCCCTCCCTCTGGTTGGTGTGTAGCAGCCCCTCTCTACCTCTGGTTGGTGTGTAGCAGTCCCTCCCTCCCTCTCTACCTCTGGTTGGTGTGTAGCAGCCCCTCCCTCCCTGTCTACCTCTGGTTGGTGTGTAGCAGCCCCTCCCTCCCTCTCTACCTCTGGTTGGTGTGTAGCAGCCCCTCCCTCCCTGTCTACCTCTGGTTGGTGTGTAGCAGCCCCTTCCTCTCTACCTCTGGTTGGTGTGTAGCAGCCCCTTCCTCTCTACCTCTGGTTGGTGTGTAGCAGCCCATTCCTCTCTACCTCTGGTTGGTGTGTAGCAGCCCCTTCCTCTCTACCTCTGGTTGGTGTGTAGCAGCCCATTCCTCTCTACCTCTGGTTGGTGTGTAGCAGCCCCTTCCTCTCTACCTCTGGTTGGTGTGTAGCAGCCCCTTCCTCTCTACCTCTGGTTGGTGTGTAGCAGCCCCTTCCTCTCTACCTCTGGTTGGTGTGTAGCAGCCCCTTCCTCTCTACCTCTGGTTGGTGTGTAGCAGCCCCTTCCTCTCTACCTCTGGTTGGTGTGTAGCAGCCCCTTCCTCTCTACCCCTGGTTGGTGTGTAGCAGCCCATTCCTCTCTACCTCTGGATGGTGTGTAGCAGCCCTTCCCTCCCTCCCTCTGGTTGGTGTGTAGCAGCCCTTCCCTCCCTCCCTCTGGTTGGTGTGTAGCAGCCCAACCCTCCCTCCCTCCCTACCTCTGGTTGGTGTGTAGCAGCCCATTCCTCTCTACCTCTGGTTGGTGTGTAGCAGCCCTTCCCTCCCTCCCTCTCTACCTCTGGTTGGTGTGTAGCAGCCCATTCCTCTCTACCTCTGGTTGGTGTGTAGCAGCCCTTCCCTCCCTCCCTCTGGTTGGTGTGTAGCAGCCCAACCCTCCCTCCCTCCCTACCTCTGGTTGGTGTGTAGCAGCCCATTCCTCTCTACCTCTGGTTGGTGTGTAGCAGCCCTTCCCTCCCTCCCTCTGGTTGGTGTGTAGCAGCCCTTCCCTCCCTCCCTCTCTACCTCTGGTTGGTGTGTAGCAGCCCATTCCTCTCTACCTCTGGTTGGTGTGTAGCAGCCCTTCCCTCCCTCCCTCTGGTTGGTGTGTAGCAGCCCAACCCTCCCTCCCTCCCTACCTCTGGTTGGTGTGTAGCAGCCCTTCCCTCCCTCCCTCTCTACCTCTGGTTGGTGTGTAGCAGCCCATTCCTCTCTACCTCTGGTTGGTGTGTAGCAGCCCCTTCCTCTCTACCTCTGGTTGGTGTGTAGCAGCCCCTTCCTCTCTACCTCTGGTTGGTGTGTAGCAGCCCCTTCCTCTCTACCCCTGGTTGGTGTGTAGCAGCCCATTCCTCTCTACCTCTGGATGGTGTGTAGCAGCCCTTCCCTCCCTCCCTCTGGTTGGTGTGTAGCAGCCCTTCCCTCCCTCCCTCTGGTTGGTGTGTAGCAGCCCAACCCTCCCTCCCTCCCTACCTCTGGTTGGTGTGGGCAGCTATGACAGCCAGCTGGTTGTGATGCCCCAGCATCAGGTGAGCATTAGCAAACACCATCACTGCATCCACACACTGTGACAGGCTCAACTGCAACATGGACAAATGGTGGTATAGACACATACGTTTATCACATTTTGTACTGTATGTTTGTTGTTTACCGACGGATTCATAGAGGATTGTTAGTATGGTTGTTTAACAATGTGTAGATTAGTGTAGTGTAGTACAGCACAGTAGTGTGATTATATAATTAATAATGTGGGCTTAACTATAACAAAGTGGAAGGGGGATATAGGAATGGGTGCTGTCTGTCCGTTCTTCCATCTTTCCATCATTCCGTCCGCCACGTTTCCAGAGCAGAACTCATAAACCCTGAGAGATATCTTAACCAAACTTGGTACATAGATAGGTCTAGTGGTAAACTGGTGCCTTTAGATAGTTTGGGATTTTATAAAAATGTATTTTTCAATGTTTCCACAGCAACGACTTTGACTGAAAATGGCGGTAATACTCGTTTCCGGGGCAGGTCTTGAAAACCGTACAATATTTCTTCACCAAACTTGGCAAAAACGACAGAGTAATTCTACAGTCACATATAACAGTTTAAATACGGCTATTAAGACAGTCATTTCTAAAATTGATCAGAATTAAGAGAGCTCCACATTGAGCATCATACATAGGCCTTGTGGTTCACAAGAGATAACTGATGTCCATCTATATCATAGAATGCTATCTTGAGCAGGGCCTCAGAGACTCAGAGAGTGTGAGTCAGTATTGTGTGCAGTTTACCTTGCTACTGCTCTGTGCCACATTTAGATTCTCTCCCCACCAAACTGGATTAGTGTCCAGCACAATCACCAAAAGACTGCTTGCAGCCTTGTCTGAAATAATAGCAAAACAGTGTCAGTCATGATGATACTTAGGCCCGACTTTCCCCGCCATTATTTAAGGATCAAGTTGGAGGTATCTACTCTAGGTTGATGTTTGGTTGCCTGAACTTATGAAGCAGTAATTAGAATGCTTCTGTGTGAAGTTTCCACTCGGTGGGGGCCACCTTGTCTGGACGTGTTAATGCATCGGCCAGTTTCGACATCCGGGGATGTGCTGAACTATGAATTGAAATTCCAGACAATCCACTAGATGGAAAAACCTGAATGTCTATTGAAGCAGGGAGTGGGAGTGCATTGTTCCCTGATAGCACAGGCACCACATGATACTGCTGTTGTCTGTGGATATTGCGAGTTGGGCAGACTGTTGCTGATTCTGCCAATGGGATATGACCAGAATTAATGCTTCCAACTCCAAGTTGTTTATGTGCCACTTTTGATGAATGCCAGACCATAGCCCTGAGGCTGTCTGCCCTTGCAGGTGAGCACCCCACCTCTGAAGGGAGGCATCTACGAACAGGTGTAACCCAGATAAAGAGACTCCTAAGATATTCGACTCTACAGTCCACCAATTGAGGTAAGGCCTTAGTTGAGCCTTGAGTGGATCCTGGCACCTGATGTAAGGGTTCGGGAATTGTTGAATTGGATGTGGTTGTAAGTGGCCTCTGCTGGTTAAGTCGAGGTGAGTAACCCTAGCAATACTTGCCATTGGTGAAGCGTGCGTGGTTGGTGGAGCGCAGGTGACAAGAGGCGTACGATTTTGTGCCATCTGTCCCTCGTCACTGATAGGAGATCCTGATCTGTCTGGAACAGGCCTCCTATGAACTGGAGCCAGTAGGAGGGAGTTAACTCTGACTTCCCCTCGTTGATTACCCATCCCATCCATATCGTAGCCATCTGGTGAATTCCCGGTGGCATACTAACGTTAGCGTGTGTTGATGACACAAGAGACAGTTACGCAATTAAAGAATTGTTGATGAAACGGGACTGGAAAAGTACTGAAGAATTGAACAATATTCTATCAGCAATTCTTTTTTAACGAGTTTAAAGTGTATACAATATTGATATACACAACTCAATGTAACGCCAAAGCTTCTAATATTTAAAAACACATGAATATGATATACATACGTAGCTGGGAATTGTAAACAATTTGACCACCTTGGCAGGCAAATAATTGTAACACAAATTCAAAATGGCCTAAATAATCCACATTAATCTACACAACATGGTCAAAATGATATGAAAGGAATACATCACCCATCGCAGATCAATTTTAGAATTATAGCCGAAAACTGAAGGTCTAAATTAAACCAATTTGAAAAGCTCCACCGGGACATGTCCTTGCTGTAGCACGACAGGCAGTGATGTGAAGAAGGTGACCTTACATGTCATCGAGGTCACATGACAGCGGCAGTGGTCCGCATAAAAGTAGGACTTGAAATCAACAACTTCTTTATTTCTTCAGCCAAGACAATCACTGTTGCGCTGTCTTCTTGTTGTCGTAAGGTAAGCAGTGAATCTATTAAGGACTAATGTAGGATAGGTAAAATATATTGAAGTTAACAACATCATGTCTCCACCTGAATGGAAATATTTCCTCATAAAGGTGAATCCATTATTTTAGTGTCCATCAATATTTTGCTTTCTCTAGATGATCAATAAGATCTTGTGATCTGATAACTTCACATCAACAGATTTTCGAATATTCATGGTAATTTTAATTTAATTTTAGTTTTAACTGTCTGGATCCATGCAGGCTTTCCTCCTTCACTGAGTTGGCAGCATGGTATCACTGACCTACTGTTGCATAAAACAAAGCTCACTCACTCACTCACTCACTAAGAAATCCAAAATAAAGTCTAAAAAAATAATGTAGAAATTAAATTGTTAGTGGTATTATCTTCCTATGTATTTTGTTATTTCTTTTAATAACATACATTGTAGACTCCTGTCTCTTGCTTCAGTGAGAATGTGGAATGAACTCATTTTTCATTTCGATGCATTGATATTTCAAATTGACTGGTCCATAACATATTTTTGGCATACATGTTTCTTCCTCCAGATGATCATGGATGATCGGTATGTTCCGATATGACCATGTGTACTCATGACTGAACACCAACAACAATATGAAAAGACTATCAGTGGACTCATTTCTATTCAACTATTATTGGTGTTATTAATTACAAATGTTTGGCCTCTTCCATCAGAACAGTAAATTGAGTAATTAGGGACTAGATCAGTAGAGGGTATATAAAAAAACCCAAAAAAAACATTAGTCTGCAGTGCCTATCTCAAACCTGCACGTTAGACTTTACAATCAACTGACAGAGCTCTGTACCCTGAAATAAATTCTGGGTAAGCATAAACACACACCTGACATCATGCATCAAACTGAACTGCTCCCAAATGCAAAAGCGACGGAAAGTCACATTTTCATGGAAGCCGCCATGTTTATTTTCTCTAAAATCCGGGCAGTTCATCATTTTACTCCGGTTTTGGGTTTATCTTCATATATCTACCAGTATATATAAACCGTATTATTTATTATTTAATTAATTCGCATAAACGTGTTGTATATTGTAATAGTTCTTTCGTTGAAAACAAATACCATCTTGAAATTCAAAGATCCGGTTTAACGTCCGAACTGCTTTGCATGTAACGGAGTCACCAATTGGTCAGTCTGATGACATTTAGACGAATTGACATCCGCGTTTCTTTATGAGAATAAGGGGAGATAACAGTGACATGAAACGAAAATCTCTCAGACATCTGATGCAAGAAACAGTATTTTCTGATTTATAAGACTTTTGAACCTAAACATGGACAAGAACGGTACGCTAAGACATCTTAAATTTATGTTGCTCCTATTATGTATATATTTGCCTCAAACGACTGGATATCCATCTTCTAGGTAAATTCCATATGGATTTATTAGGCTTGCTGTACTGTGAAACAGGGATATCATCGTTGGTTCACTCTGCCTGTTGCTGTTACACCCCTTAACGGACATATGACACATAAATATAGGTGTAGTACTGCAATTAATGGATCCAAGTAATATGTGATGATATTGAAAATAATTATAAAGTATTTTGTCCATCAGAATATTTGATATTGATATGATATGGCGGCACATGGTCCTATGCACAGCGCACAGGTCACAAATCAGGTGAAGTTAAGCAACGTCGGTCACAGAGAGTGTTTGGATGGGTGACTGCCTTGGTAGTGTGGCTCCTGAGAGTTTCTAGGGCTTCGGTCCTGCCCCACAGTGAAGCACATGTAACACATGTGGCGTCTTCTATGGCAAGTGATTTTGTTCGAATATGGGCAACCATTTACCAAGCAGTGAATGGGTACCCGGTAGGATGAGATGACATTGTTGTTGTTAACCTTCTAGTGCTTAACAGGCAGCTTGGGTTGTATACTCCCTAGGAAGCTGAGAATGATTCTTGAGGGCACATTGATCCAGTTACAGGGGTAATAATAGCACTTTGAGAATGTCCCTCAGTGATGTGGATTTTGCGCTGTACAAATAGCCTTCTTCTCGTTGTTGTTGTAATATGATGCATTTGAAATGAGGAAGTGGTCACTGAGTAGTCAAGTGGTCAACATGGTCAAGTCTGTGAGTATTTGAGTGCATTCAATGTGATTACCCTCACCATGTGTATGGCACTGCCCAATGGCGTCACCTAGTAATATCTCCAAACATGACCATAAATATATACACAATATATAACTATAATGTAACATATTACATCAATATGTTTTAAGGGGGTGGTCGGGTAGTCTAGTGGGTAAAGCGTCCGCTCATCACGCTGAAGACCCGGGTTCGATTCCCGAAATGGGTACAATGTGTGAAGCCAATTTCTGGTGTTCCCCACCGTGATATTGCTGGCATATTGCTAAAAGCGGCACAAAACCATACTCACTCAATATGTTTTAACATTCTTATGTATAAACAATAACTCTAAATCTATTCTTATAACTCACCTCATCATACATACATTCATTCATACATACAAAGTTGGGTGCAGCACTTTTATTCGGGTAAGACTTCTGCCCATATCTACCACCCCCATACCGCCTTATAAATATATATAATTAAAAGGATGAGCGTCAATGCATACATTTATAAGTTTTTAAGGGGGAATACGGGCAGAAGTCTTTTCAAATAATACATATGCACCTGAGTAAATCCTTATAACAAAACACTACATAAGAACACAGAAATATACAATTCACACATAAACTAACCTGTGATAAATATCAGCTGTGTCCAGCAATGAAAAGTCAATGCAGACTCCAATGCAAATGTGAATCTAAGCTGACCAGTTCCATAAGGCACCCTGTCACTGAATATCAGACAATAGAGACCCAGAGAAACAACAGAGAAGGCAAGCACAATGGTGACTGTGCTACTGTAATACAGTACTGAAGCAGGTTAGATAGGGTGGTTGAGGTAGGACTAATAGAAGCAGAAATTAAAACACACTTGAGGATATATACATAATTACACACCGTAACACTATGACCTTTATAGTCTTTATGCACCAAGAACAATACTGGATAGAATCAGAACACTGTTTTTTTTTAGTTATAATCAAAATATTAAACCAACAAAAAAAAAACATAATAAATAAATAAAAACGATTAAAGGTAATAAATATTTTTTGGAGAATGTGAAAGGTTGTATTAAAGTGGAATGTATGAAGACAATTTATGGACAAATTGAAGGTCGGTTCTGAGAAAAACATTGTGGAAGACATAAATCACCCAAAACAATTGCACTCGTGATAATTTTGAACCCAATATGGCTACCACGTCAATCACATGACCAATACATATGATCAAGAAGAGTTCTTTACAGTCTGGGGGCAGTCGGGTAGCCTAGTGGTTAAAGCGTTCGCTCGTCACACAGAAGATCCGGGTTCGATTCCCAACATGGGTACAATGTGTGAAGCCCATTGCTGGTGTCACCCGCCGTGCTATTGCTGGAATATTGCTAAAAGCGGCGTAAAACCACACTCACTCACTCACTCACTCACTCACTCACTCACTCTTTACAGTCTAATGATGAACAGTATAAATTTTGATGTACTTTATAGGCCAATTAATTTTCTACTTTATTCATTAATAAATTCTTGATGGCTACCATCAGGCAATATATGCATATAAAATGTGGTAGTTGTGTGTATGGAGACAGTTTGTTGAAAGTATTGAAGTAAGTTCCGAGTATTAGATTCTAGAACACATGTACTGTAAATGGCCTTCAATAGAATCAGGGCACCATGTGGGTGATACATGCAAGTTTCCAGCCTTTTTGACAAGTGGATTTGGAGAAAACTCTCAATTACGATTCTTTAGATCAACAGTTTGCCCCATAAAGCCATGTGACCAGTGACCAGTGTTTGTATGTTATATATATATATACATACAAACACTGGTCACTGGTCACATGGCTTTATGGGGCAAACTATATATATATATATAATAAAATAATATAAGTCCACGTTAGTCCATCATCTTCTTTATATCAGTTTCAGACAAAGAAGATGATGGACTAACGTGGACTTTATTATTTTATGATATATTACATGTACACCGAGTGAACATTTACCTCATTTTTGTTTGTGTGTGTGTGTGTGTGTGTGTGTGTGTCTATATATATATATATATATATATATATATAATTTATTTGTGAAACAAACATGTCTTTAAATTGTTTGTATCTAAATAATCATTATTATGTTTTTCAGATATTCTGTCATATTTTAACAAGCTTATCAATGATGACCCAGATATTTCTGCTGCTGTAGCTGCCATCAAAACTCTCCTGAAGTTCATTGAAGCAAACAAAGGCAAGAAATCAGGAGGAGTCCACTTTTGATCAGGATAATTTATTGAACTTTTGTTAAGAGCATCATGTTAACAGTAAGAGGTTATGAGCCCTCGACTGGTCCTAGTGCCTAACTGTCCTGCATCGTGGCTACTTCCCGGGCTTGCACAGTCCCTCCATCACATCTGAATACATGCCACCACAGGGCAGTGTGGTCACTCTTTGTAAGCAACCAATCAGTCCAAGGCCTGGCTCTAGTCAGACTGGATGCAGTGTGTCCTTAGACCAGTGATAATTTTGTATGTTACAATCTCTTTTCGAGATACAGCTCAAATTGGAATATCAGAAAATGTGTGAAAATTAAGGACATGACCTGTTTAATAAAATTCATGTCGGCCGAGTGTTTTCATTTGTACACAATCATGGGTTTGAACTACATTTCAACTGAAGACAAATCATTTATGCAAACGTCTGAAAATCATTCAGGTCAAAGTTCACACGATGATGACCAAGATTGACCCCGGAAATGTTTACTGTGACAGTGTCATTAACAAATAATGACAGACCAAATCCTCAAGTCATTCTCATGTATTGCATATTGTTCTCTCAATCATCAAAGTGACTTTACCTAAGGCTTAAAAAGAAATTAAAAAATTGGTTCTTAGGCAATGGCTTTTGAATAACTAGTGCAGGTGCTTAGTGTTTGTTTTGTTTTGTTGTTGTTCAAACTAGTATGTACCCATATAAACAGATGTGTAACCAAATAAACAGTTGTGTATAATCAGCCTGAGAAAGGGCCTCCCTACAAAAATGTATTCCTTGAAGACTGAAATACTGGAATACAGTATTTGACTGCCGTTAGACTTGGAATATTTAAGGATTTTGTTTTTTTGTTTTTTTTAAATGGAAATAAAAATGAAACATGTGTAAAACTTTGTGATTATGCGGGTAGTTCCTGAGAACCAAGGCTATTATTTTGTTCAGCCTCAACATGATGAAGACTTACTTTGCCTTCAGTAAGTGTATGGGGTAATAGCAAATATAGTTATGCATGTGGTGCATGAGATTTGTAGCTAGAAATTTGAACAGTTAACCATTGAGATATTCAGCTCCAGTCTCCCACAAGAAATGGTGATGGTGTTACAGCTCATGTTTATTTTTTACTGTTGTTGGTTGTTGCAGTGGAAACTCTGTCGGAGATGAGGGAGCGCCTGAAGGATGCAATCAACACATTGACACAGACTGACAGCAGTGTTACATCCATATCATCAGGCTGTGAACTGTTTCTACGCTTCATCACACTGGCAAATCTTCAGCATTCTGTGAGTATTTCCCCAAAATAAGATGAGGGAAGTCTATGATGTAGAGGCTGTTTAAGTACCTCACACACAACTGATGACACATGTACCTCACACACAACTGATGCCACATGTACCTCACTCGCAACTGATGACACATGTACCTCACACACAACTGATGCCACATGTACCTCACACACAACTAATGACACATGTACCTCACACACAACTGATGACACATGTACCTCACACAGAACTGATGACACATGTACCTCACACACAACTGATGACACATGTACCTCACACACAACTAATGACACATGTACCTCACACAC